AAGTCTTGACTAGAGTAATTTGTGAGGTTGGACCATTTAGCAAGTAGCCTCAAAAGCTGAATTCTGAATAGACGAACAGAGGCATTTTGAGATGCCAGATCACCTGGGCCATCTGTTTCCATTAGTGACTGGTTCCCTTGTTCTGAAAATACACAAACTTAAAGGTAACATACATGCCTGTATTAATGCAGTATAGACTGTATGTTGTACACAAGTTAGCCAAAGATGGTTTTTTTTTTTTGTTTGTTTGTTTTATATTTGAGCAGGTCAAATATATGTTACCTGTTTTGTAGTTGTTCTAGGTTTGTTTCTTTATGTATGTATTGAGGATTTCCAGGGGATCTGCCCCTATCAAACCTGATCCATATCAACCTAGAATGAATACACAGCCTCTCATTTCCTGAAGAAATAAAAGCATAACCACTTTCCCAATGCAACATATCTTTGACTTCCATTTTAAAGTAAAGATATTTTTTAAATATATAGGTTGGTTTAATCTGGAAGCTTTCATAATCAAACGTCTCATAGTAGCTATTGCTTCTTTATCATTAGTCAAAAACTTTAAAGACAACACAATAGCATATAAGATCCAGACTCCATGTGTGTTTTCTATCTTTGCATGGTTTTTTCCATGGTATTACTTTCTTCTTTCTTTAAAGACATTACTTTATTATCTTTGAATTATTTTTGTCACTGTATATACCATTTCTCTTTTCTCTTCCAAGTCTATGTACATTTTTAAACACACTGTAAACCACTTAGAGATTTTTTTTCTGTCTGCATATATCCTTACTGCATATCTATAATCTTTTCTGTCTGCATGAGCAAAACTTAAATTCACCAGGCATTTTAGTTCATAGTGTTCTGATGGAGTTCTCTCTGGCAGCACTCACACTGGCAGCTCAAGGCAGAAGGCAGCAGCTGGGAGATATATCTCTGTATTGCAGTTAGCATGAGAGATATGACACAAGGAAGCCATGTTTGGCTCTATTTTTTTGTGTGTTTAGGACCTATTTTTAAAGCTTTTTTCAGGTCTTATGTGGATGTAGGTGCCTCACTTTGGGGGCCATATGTAGGCAGACTTTTCTGTTTCACCAGCCAGTTGCCAAATAACCACATAGAGACTTATTATTGATTATAAGTGCTTGGTTGATAGCTTAGGCTGATTTTTACCTAGTACTTATAACTTAAATTAACCGAATTTTATTAATCTATGTGCTGCCCTGAAGATTATTTACCTCACATACATACATCCCATCCTTCTCTCTCTGCATCTCATAGCAACTTGTCTTGACTCCTCAAACCCCACCCTTCTAATCCCCAGTATACTCTCTGCCCCATAAATTCTGCCTAGCCATTGGCCAATTAGCTTTTTACTAGCAATGAGAGCAATACATCTTCCCAGTGTACAAAAGGTTTATCCCGCAACAATGTTGGATATTGTCAAAGGTCTTTTCTGCATCTATTGAGAAGATCATATGTTTTTTTGTCATATATATGATTTATATGTCATATATATTGACTTATGTATGATGAACCTCCTGTAAATCTCCTAAACGAATCCTACTTTTTGGGTTCCATTTGGATTACTTTTTTTATATATGCCCATATTCAGTTTACAAGTACTTATTGGGGTTATTTGCCCCTATGTGCATTAGGAATATTAGCCAGAATTATCATAATCATCAATATCATTAATATTATTCTCCTTTTCTTTCACTTTCTCCCTCCCGCAACTTCTGTTTCTCTTTCTCCTCTTCATCCTCCTCCTCTTGCTGTTGTTACTTTGCCTGGTTTCTGTTTTAGGTAATACCAGCTTTGTAGGTTAAGTGTGTTGGTGAAGTTTCTGTTGCTAATTTTTTCATTATTAATTTTTACATCCTGACCAAAGTTGCTCCTTCTTCATCTCCTCCCAATCCTTTCCCACCTCTCTTCTGCTCCAATATCTACTACTCCTCTATTTATCTCTAGAACAGGGCAGATTTCTCATGGATGTCAACCAAACATGGCATATCAAGTTGCAGTAAGTCTAGACACCTCCCTTTGTATTAAGGCAGGATGAGGTGACCTGATAGGAGGAAAATGGTCAGAAAAGCAGGCAAAAGAGTCAGAGGTAGCCCTTGCTCCCACTGTTAGGAGTCCACAAGAAAACCAAACTACACAACTGTAACATACATGCAGAGGGTATATAAGGGCTGGCAGTTCAGTCTCTGTGAGCACCTATTAGCCCAGCTTAATGGTTTCTATGGGTTTTCTCATGGTTTCCTTGACCCCTTTGGCTACTACAATCTTTCCTCTCCCTCTTCCACAGGAGTCCCTGATCTCACCATAATGTTGGCTTTGGGTCTGCATCTGTTTCCATCAGTTGCTGGGTGAAGTCTCTCTGATAATCATTGGAATATGAATCAGTCTATGAGTGTAGCAGAATATTATTAGTAATAAGACAATATTGTGTTATTTAATATCCATGAGTTTATATAATTAATAGCATGCTTGCTGTTGAATTTAAATTTCTAATGCATGTGTAATATATAATTCATTAAGTTATTTCAGTTAGTCTGAATCTGTTAAAATTTGTTTTGTGTCCCACGGTGTTGTCACTTGTAGAGAAGCTAAATAAAATATGTACATATTTTTGTGTTTGGTGAAATATTCCTCAGAAATCCATTAGGTCTACTTGATATTTCATGCTATTTAATTCTGATGTTTCTACATGACTTCTGTTGGAAAAAGTGGGCTATTGAAATCACCTCTTTATTATTAGGTTAGTGTTAATCTGTGCCTTCAATTCTAGTAATACATTTTTAAAAGAATTTATATAACTTTTTTATCATTATTATTAACCAATTGTTATTGTTGATGCTTTAATAAAAAACATATTTAAAATATAGACACGATGGGGGTTTGAGCATTTTTCTAGTAGGAAGTATTTTCAAAACAGTGACTCAAGTTTCAGAAAAACATGGGATTTTG